ACAGCGGTGGAGCGGCAACAGCGGCGAGACGGGTCACGGCGGCGCGTGTATCTCACGCGCGGTCTTCGGGGCGGCGCGTGGGGTTGCGTGCGGCTTCGGCTCGTGTGCTGCTACTCGATTCTTCGATCTTCGATCTTCCTCCTCTCGGATTTCACCTCGTAGACTTCGATCTACTAAACACGTGGCACTAGACACGTAATAGTTAGAAATAACGGAAGAAAAGAAAAAAGAAAAGAGTACCGAAAGGGATCGGCCAATGGATGGCCGATTCCGGCGACTTCCCGACGACGGCGGCGCGGTGGCCGAGGAGAGAGGGCCGAGTGAGAGAGGGTGTGAGCGGCTAGGGTTAGGGTTTTGTGTTGTGTGTCTGCAAGACCTATAAATCTTGTATTTATAGTGTCTTGCATAAAACCCTAGCGGGCTTAAGTTGGACCGGGCCCAACAGCTTAAGTTTGCTAGTACTTTTACTTGCTCGTCTCTCTCAATTCAATGACCGAAAAATTGCAACGATTACATTTTCGGAATCATTATAAAGTCCTCGTCATTACGAGTGCCAACTCTAAATTTCCAACTTCCCAAAAGTGGAAACCCTAGTTCAGTGCACTTTCTAAATTTGGAAACTTCCAGATTTAGAAAGTCCACTACAATGTTCGCCTATTCTTTTACTTTTCTTATTCTCATTCATAATTCCAAATTACGAATGTTGGACCCAATCATATTGACTTCCAATCATGCAAAGATAAACATAATTTACCTTTGACCGTTTATTCAAAGATCTCATGTGCACGAGCAGTGTGACCCTCGGTGGTTCAGGTGTAAGCTAGCCGTTGGCCCACAACCCTTTGTGTTCAAAACTCGTCCATTAGAGTTACGATTAAGATGAAGCTCGTTTCACCTTAATCACCCAACGAATCAAGATTGGCGTCTAGCAACTACGCGTCATGATTCCCTAGATACAAATGAAGTGCCTGCAAGAACCTTCAGATATAGTTAACGTACAATACGGTCCCTTCGATTCATATGTCCCGATTGAACTAGAGGCATTGGTTCATCGAGACCTCTCTATATGTTCAATGATTGTGCGATCGTTCTAAGTGTTGTAATCGTTACGTGCATGACTTAGAGAATCAAATTCTCTAATCATCACTTAGTCAGCTCTGGCCAGAGACTTAGAATGATTACAAACTTTCAGAACACACAGGACATCCAAGACTATTCTAGCGATCGAATCCCCGACTACAATGCACAGACCTCCCACTAGATTTCGGACTGCACGAACACTGGCCCTTGGGATGGTCATCGGTGCAACTCAGGGACAGGTCACGATACAGCTGGTCCTCTAGTGAAGTCACGTGATGTCTAGGTCATAAGGACTAATGGTGTACAACTATACGATAGATATCTCTACTCGATTATTGGGAACCACTTAGAGATTTCTAGGGTGAGGGAGTTCAGTGAACTCGTCAACCTACGAGCACTCACTTATGCATGCCGATATCACAATACCGTTTACTGATGAGATGCAGTACACATACACTAAGTGCTAGTCTCTTAATGGGAAAGGCCGATATCCTCATTGGTGGCGTAACCCTTCGACTAGGAACGCGTTTAACAGTTATAATACTTAAGTAAATATCTCACGATCCTAACGATCAATTACTAGTACTTGTAATAACTGTAAGGACTATATCTATGCTTGTGACAAAGGGACAAAGATATAGAATGCCAAGATCTTTTATCATTAATACGAATAAAGGTTCGTTTATTACAATAATAAATACGAAAGACCACAGCCACATGTTGGTTTGTGGGTCACCTACTCTAACACACGTAAACTAGGCCGGGGGTTGATCCGGCGAAAACCCCTCCGACGCTCAAGTCGGACGTGCAGATAGTAGAAATAGTCCAGAGAATACAGTTGATAGTATTGCTCAATTAATAGGACGTACCTTAAGGAATGATGTCAAACCTTTATTTATAGCTTAGTTGAGATTGTTGGGCCCAAACCTTATTTAAAGGTGATTGGACCTCAATGATAGTGGTCTTTAATGTTGGGCTCGTGGCCCAGTAGGTAAATAAATTGTAAGCCCATTGGGTGGGCCCAATTAGGCATATATATATATATATATATATATATATATATATATATATATATATATATATATATATATATGTATAATTAAAAATGATAAGGGGTAAAATTAGAAAGAAAGAAAAAACAATTCATGTTTTCTTGAAATTCTAAAGTGACAAGTAATTTGAGACAAAATATTTCTCCAAAGAAACAAATTATATGGGAGAAAGGGGGTAACACAGATAACATTTGATACAATCTTATGTATTTCTCATCGGATCGATCTCGTGATAGGAAAAGGTCCTCTCAATGCTCTAACACCCACGTTGGATATGAACCGAACTGTCTCACCACGTTTTGAACTCAACTCATGCACCGCTTTAGCGGGCGCACTCAAATCTTGGAACATACTACAACCCCAAGTGGCGAAGAGCCGACATCGAGGTGTCAAACCTTCCCGACGATGTGAGCTCTTAGGGAAGATCAAATGATTCATACTCAATAATATTCATGAGCTTGCTAAACAACGATTAAAGAGAAGATTATAGAGCGGAAAATAAAGCAACAAGAAACTGGTAAGGGAAAACGCACAAAAGCGAAATTTAAGGAAAAGCGGCGCCATTTAAGGATCGAAAGTTGGTTAAAAAAAAAAAAAAGGCGACCCAAAACGGCACCGTTCCGTATTAGAGGAGCAAAACATAAAAAGCGAAAAAGAGAAATAGAAGCGGTGCCGTTCACAGATTAAACAGATATAATAGTAGCTATATCGAATTAGTTATTGGGAAAATTACAATTTTCATTCCTCAAGTTTGCATCGATTTCACATTTAGTCTCTTATGTTCACAAAAATATATTTGGTCTCCCATGTTTCAATAATTCAACATTTTGGTCAATTTCGTTAATTTACCGTTAGTTTGCCAGTTAAGACAGTGATGTGCACACACTGGATTCCATTAATTTTAACGGAAAATTGATAGAAAGAACTAAAACTGTTGATATTTGAAACATAAAAAACCAAATGTGGAATCGTTGCAAACGTGAATGAAGAAAATGTTTTTCCTTTAGTTATTACTGGTTGCTACAATGGGAGTATTGTTTCACTTTAAGAAACACCGAGAATATTATAAGTGAAGACAAAAGGGAATATTAGAAAATAAAAAGTGATTTTCCTTGGGTTTCTTTTCTCCTAAAGTGAATATATATATACTTAATATTTTCCTTGGATTTTCCTTGGGTTTCTTTTCTCCTAAAGTGAATATATAGTGTAGGGATATTTTTCCCCCTCATTTCATGGGTGGCATTGGTCAAATACTTAATACTTAGATTGATAATTATACTTAATACTTAGATTGATAATTGTACACATTTTAATGAAACTATTGATTGAAACATGTATGTGTGTACCGATGGCTAGTACGTACCCTCTCCGCTTCAAAATAAACGTCATTTTGGGTTGCTGCGTGCATTGAGAAAATCAATTAAGTACTTGAAAATCAATTAAATAGTACGTGAATCATAACAAAAAAATTACTAGACTATCAATAATAATTTCTTTTCAATTAATTAAGAGTTATAAAAGGATATAATTGAAAAAAAAATTCATAAAAAGCAATTCAAATTTCAAAGGGACAAATATTTTGGAATATAGTAGTATCAAATTCAATCTATATTTTTTCACAAATAAATTAAGCCAACTTTTACGTTCAGAAGTACATTTTCCTAGTTCTTATTCAAATGCAAAATTATGGGCACCTGCTTTGGGGGCGGTACCAGGATTTTTCGGTAGGAGGGGTCGAAAACTTTGAAGAGTTAATAAAAATATGGCGGGGGTTTGGGGGCAGCGCCCCCAAAATTTTTTAGGATATTTTTGTGAAGAAAACCAACACAAATAACTAATGAGTAATAGATATTGTTGTCAAAACAATATTTATAAACTTATATAAAATAAATTGTAATATAGTATAATTTAGTTGAATAAGTAAAAGTGTTTAAAAAAATAAAATCTTGAAATACATAAAAAATTGATAGGTTGAAAACTTTAAACATTGGGAAGAAAGAAAAACAATACTTTCTTTTTTATGTTATATTATTTTTTTATCATAAGCTTTAATAGAGATTTTTTTTTTTTTTTTCAAGAGAACGACACCCGATGAGGGTGGGGGGTTAGGCTTGACCCCCTACCTGTTTATAAAACAAAATTTAAGAAGTATATAATGAGTTTCGCTCAAATTGCTACTGCCCAACATATGGCTAATAATAGCAATTGACAAACAAAAGATAATAGGTAACTAACAAAACGTTAAGAAAACGGGCAAAACAGGTGGCCCAAATAATAAAAAGGACGGGGTGGGAATGATCATAGAAGGTCGGGGAAGACCAAGGTAGACCGTTCGCCTCACCACAACAGCCGAGGCCACTTACACTTTCGCCAAAAATGGGCGAAACAGGTATAACGGCTGCGAAATGTGTGGCACCATTCGGCAAACAGTCTAGTCTTGATAGACCCAAACAATCCATAATCACCCCAACCCTTCCTAACATGTCCAGTTCACGCAAATTCCTCAATTGCCAATAATATAAAAACGTGGAATGCATGGCACCTATGTGCGAGACTGTCGTCGAAAGGATGGATATCCAAGCTGGTCCATCCGAATCATCTGCTGAATAGGTCGGGGAAGTTCCGCTGTTGTGAAGGTACGAGCCAACTCGGTCTGACACCCCAAGTTAGCTAATGCATCAGCTACTTTATTGCCCTCCCGGTAGATATGTGTAATCCTGTACTCCAAAGTAGAAAGAGAGTTCCGGATCGCCGTGAGAGAACTCAAGCTTTAATAGAGATTAGGGATTGAGATTGTGAAAAATATTTTATAGGATAAATTAAAATAGAAAGTTAATTTTTTTTTTAAGGCAAATAAAAATACTTTTATTAAATAAACTTCTCCCGGTTATGAGGAAGAATAGAATCTTCCATCATATCTATTACATTTTGTTGAACAAGAGAGTGAGCTAAAGGATTCCCATCTCTTTTAACAAATGAAAAGGAACATGTAACAAATGTTTTGCTGATCGACAAACACTCAGAAATAATAGCCACCAACGACTCCATACCATCTACTCCCCGATGAAGAGCATTTATCACCTCGAGACTATCAACTTCAATCATAATTTTTCTCCATCCTCGGTCAATAGCTACTATCATGGCGTGTAAAGCTGCTCGGGCCTCTCCATCTGCTATCTTTGGTCTACCTTGAAGCTTACGAATACTCCACCAGACACACTGGTTATTATGATTCCGCGCCACCATAGCTACTTGGAAGTATTTTTTTCCCCGAGGAAAACCTGCATCAAAATTGATTTTGATAATTTCAGCCGGCGGCGGCGACCACTTGGAAGCGGCAGCTCTATGTGTACCAGAATGAGCCTCACATATAGAAGCCCTACGATATTCATCAAGAAAATTCGTGCTCCATCCAACAATATCATTCTTCACACATTTTAAACCCTCGAATAATTCAACATTACGAAAATACCATATTCTCCAACATACTGTAGCAGCCAATTCAAAAGCCTCTCGACTTAGGTTTATATGAAGATAGCACAGCCAGGCACTAAAGTTGGGAAAATTAATGTTCGCATCTTGCAAACAGAATGTGAGATCTCCCCAAATGTCACTCATTTCACTACATTTCATAATGTGAAGCGTGGATTCATAATCAGCCCCGCATCGGTTGCACAAAGGGTTTGGAGCAATTTTTTGTCGAAACAATTTTGTGTTCGTCGGTAGAATATCAGAGCAAGCTCGCCAGAGAAAAACTCAGAACTTTTGGGGGCACTTTTGAATCCTAAATAAATTTCCATTTTTTGTGGTGAAAACCACTGCCATTTGCTCCAGAAAGTTAAATTTAAAAGTTGAAAATAATAATTTATTTTTTAATGTGGGCCATATATAAATATTTGTAAATAAAAAATCAATATATGATAGTAGATAAAAGTTAATATGTGTATATATCCAACCAATATCTATAAGTATTAGTATATAAAAGTAGTAAAACAAAAAAAATCTGGGGGACAAATGCTCCCCATTGCCCCATAGAAGTTCCGCCAGTGCACCTCATTAAGGTAATATTAAATTATGAAAAAAAATCATTCATGTTTGAGTAAATAGTATCACCTATTCCATATAGGTATTATCTTTTACGCAATGAACTATGGGTTTTTTAGTGAGAAGGATTTTTTCGTAATTTGACGTAACATTATGGTGTGGCCGTTAATTGGCCAAATTATTTTATTAGCATTGAAATCTGTGTATTCAAGAACGTCATATCATATCAGAGGTGTTTTTTCTTTTAAATTCAGATAAACCATAATTGCAATTTGCACGTCATGTACACACAGAGTTCGTGGGAGGGGAATCATTTCTATTTGGGAAAATAACCTATACATCAAAATTAATACCTTCATAAATTATTTTGTCTCCCTGAGGTATAATCTAATTACGAAAAAACCCCTTTTTTTGGAAAAAAATTACATCTAGCCCCCTGCGGTTTGTAAACTTTTGTATATCCAACCCCTGCAAAAGAGCGTTAATGTAAGAAATCTACAAATTACGAGGGGTGGATGTAATTATAGAAACATAAGGGGTTTTTTTATAAATAAACCTTACTTCAGGGGTGACTTAAATCTACCCTAAATTATTTATGTATGGCCTTCTTTTTTTTCATCTTTTGTGTGTGGGACAAATGACAAATCACATTCCAAATTTCCCTTTTGGAAACAAAAGACAAATTGAAATCGTCAAAAAAGAAAAAAGAAAAAAAAAAAACTTTCTTTGCAGTTGACGACTCTTCCTCTTCTGACCTCTTTCTCTCTCTTCTCTCTCTCTCTCTCTCTCTCTCACTCTACTGCATAAGACGACTGTTTCTTCTTTGTTGTTTGTGTAAGAAGAAAAAAGACAGACCAAGAAGATTCCGCCGAGTTCTTGCAGGTGTATGTATAGCTTTGTGTGAACTCTTTCTTGGCCATATATATATATATATATATATATATATATATATATATATATATATATATATATGATCATTATTCCCCTTTGGTAAGGCTGGCAACATTTTTACTAATGATATTATACTTGTGCGCATTATTTGCGTGTGTGTGTGTTGTGTGAGTGCGTGTGCCGTGTGCGTGCGGTTCTTGTTGTTTCTCTGTGTGTGTGTGTGTGTGTGTTGGTGTTTCTGGTAAAAAGGGGCAAGATTTTCTTGATGATCAAGATTTTATTTTGAGTAGTGATATATATATATATATATGCATTTTATTTTGGAGTCCTAACTCCTAATAATATAAAAATAAATGTGGTTGAATTGCAGATATAAAATGAGGCCAAGAACTAGAAGTCAATGGGATGAGCACTACAGCAATTTGAACAATAATAAGAAGAAGAGTAATATTAGTACTACTGCTAGTAGTAGTGGTGGAGTTAGCCGGAGAAGCAATCGCCTCCGAAATTCCCTTAATTCCGAGCCTATAAATAATATCGATCAAGATTGTATCTTCATTTGCGAAGAGAGTACGACCTCGTTTGATCGGGACAAAGTAAGTAATTTGAGTGATATAAATAAGAAGAAGTGTAGTACTACTAGTGGTGTTGATTTGGAGGAGCCTATAAGTAATATGGATCAAGATTTCATTATAATTAGTGAGAAGAATAGTAGTGAAGATAATTATGTAAGTAATTCCGAGAAAAGATCAAGCGGAAGAAGGACTAGAAATTCGGCCTCGTTCGATCGGGATTTTCGGGGGAAAAATATAGTAAATGTGAGTGATAGTGACAATGTTTCGCATAGTGACGATGATGATGATGTGATTGAATATTTGGGGGAAAAGCTTTTCGGTAATGGCTCTACTTCGAAATTTTCGACAGAAAAATCGAGATCAGAATCGGATTCCAAGGCGGGAAATCAAGATGACGGGATTTACTATTTTATTACAAAGAGAGATAACGGCGGGAACAACAGTTTGGATAGAAGCAAGGATGTCGATTTAGGGAATAATAGTTCGAGTGACGATTCGGATAAGTCGCTTGGTGATTCGTCTTTGTCCGAAGACGAATCGACTAGTGACGATGAAGAATCTTTGGATGATGATTACAAAGTGGACGAGTCAACGGATTCTGAACTGTCGGATGATTCACACTACGGCGTTGATGAAAACGAGAATCGAACCGAGGGAGAAGAGGAGAACTCCTTGAGTACGATTGACAGCAAGAGAGAGAAAGACGACGAGAGTGACGAGGGCGATAACCGTGGGAGTCGTTGTTCTAGAAGAATCTCTAAAGAGGGACGAGAGAAAGATGTGATCTTTATCGATGCCGTGGAGAAATCTCCGATAAAAAAAAGTATCAGTCAGAACAAAGAAAATGATGATGTCATCGTTGAGGGCTGTCGTGCAATTACCCGTAGTAAGACAAATGCTAATGATCGGAAAAATGAGGCTGCGGTGATTAGCAATGAAAGTGAGAACGAGAGGTTTTCTCCCAGCATCGGAAATGGCGTTGGTTCCTCGACAGAAAAATTGAATAAGTTGAAGAAGAGAAAAGTTTCGATTTTCGAAGATTCCGATACGGCGAATGAAAACGCGGATATTAGTACAACTTCGGTAAATAATCTTCCATCTTATAGCTGTGGCGTTGGAGAAAATGATGATGTCATCGTTGAGGGCTGTCATGCAATTACCCGTAGTAGAAGTCGTAGTAATAAGACAAGTGCTAATAATCCGGGAAACGAGGATCTGGGGATCAGCATCGACAATATTGAGGAGGAGATGCGTTGTCCAGGCATCGACGAATCGAATAAGAGTGGTTTGAAGAAGACCAGAGCTTCGATTTTCGAAGATTCTGACAAAGCAAATGACAAAGATTCCGAGTCTCCGAACAATGAAGTTTCCGGAAAGAAGAAGAATCGCGCGGAAAGAAACATTGAATTAGTCAAGATTTTGGTGGAGTCGATTAATTTATTCAAGGGGCAAAACCGTCCGATCGAAGAGAGTGGTTTTATTCCACGAGAAAGACTTCCGACGAGGTTCCGGTTTGAGGATGAGGTGGAGCCCACCGTAGAGAAATCGGAGTGGGAGAAAGAGATGGATTCACTATTCCATGATCTTGAATTGGGGCTTCGTGGATTAGACACGGAGCACGATTCGTCTGAGGTACGTACATTTTAAACTGTAGATGATTAAGTAGATCGATTAGCCCGATTTTGTTTCATTAATTAAAGTCGATGTATTAACACATTTGCTAATCTTTAGATGGAAAATGATGATGTGGAGGATATCGATACGAGTCTGGCAGCATGTTGTCGTAGAGGAGAGCATCAGCCGATTCTTGATGAACAGATTGGAATCGTTTGTAAATACTGTGCTGCTCTGATTTTGCATATAAAATACGTCCTGCCACCTTTCGTAAGTACTACGTACACTCGATCGCCAACTTTGCCTTTTTTTTTTTTACGGCGATTGTCGTTAGATAGTTATGTTTGCTACATCTATACGATGATTCGAAGAATTAAATGCGAACGTAATAGTGTCGATTTTATTATTATTAATTTCTTTTTGTGGAGATTCTTGGTAATCATGGTTATATCATATGTTGTCTCGTTTGTTTCTTTTAATGTTTTATCATCGTAAATTATGCTGTTTTTGTAGTACACTCCACCACCGAGGAAACGAGATAGGAAAGATATTGACGTCGATTCGCCGAACTCCGACACCAATCAAATTCATTTTCAAGACTCCGCCTATCATGGAGCAGCTCCTCCCGATTCCACCAGCAGCCCTGCCGCCAAAGGTGGCGGCACCACCGTGTGGGATTTGATCCCGGGAGTTGAAAACGAGATGTACCCGCACCAAAGAGAGGGATTCGAGTTCATATGGAGGAACATAGCTGGCTGCATCGCCCTCGACAAGCTGCAGAAGCAGCCACTCACCGACAGCAGCGGCAAAGGCTGCATCATCTCGCACGCGCCTGGCACCGGCAAAACGAGACTGACGATAGTGTTTCTCGCCTCGTTTCTGAAGCTTTACCCCAACTGCCGCCCCGTCATCATCGCCCCCAAAGGGATGCTCCTCGCTTGGGAATCGGAATTCGTCAAGTGGAAAGTCGACATTCCCTTCCACAACATGAACAAGGAGGACATGTCGGAAAACGAGAAAGCATTCGCCTTCGAAATCATCGCACGACTTAGCGGCGGCGGTGGCGGCGGTGGATTTAGCAGGGAACAAGTTCGGTGGCTGAAGCTGTGTCGGTGGATGCAAGGCGGCAGCATACTAGGAATCAGCTACCAACTGTTCGAAAAACTCGCCGGAGAAAATCGAGAAGGCGACGAAAACAAAAACGAGAAAATGAGGGAGATTCTTCTTCAATACACAGACCTATTAGTGCTCGACGAAGGCCACACACCCCGAAACAAGCAGAGCCGAATATGGAAGGCACTCACGAAAGTCTCGACGAAAAGATGCATTATTTTATCCGGTACGCCTTTCCAGAACAATCTCACCGAGCTCTACAACACCATCTGCCTCGTGAATCCAAATATCTCGCCCTCTTGGTGTGGAAATAGCAAAAAGACGAGCGTCGTCGATAGAAAGAAATGGAAAGCGATGCTCGACCCGTTCGTCCACATCCACAAAGGGACCATACTCGAGGAAAGTCTACCCGGACTGATGAACACGCTCGTCTTCTTGCACCCGACCGAGCTCCAGAAGAACCTTCTAGAAGCTTCCGCAAAAGAACGCAAGATATTCGCCCGTATCCGCCTTGTGTCGATGGTGTCCGTCCACCCCTCGCTCTTCCCGGAGAAGAGAAGATCCGTCGCTCAGAAGAACATTCTAGAAGACATCGAATCGGATTTCGAAGCCGGGGTCAAAACGAAGTTCGTCGTGAAGCTAATACACTTGGCCGAAGCGTTGAACGAACGTGTCCTGATCTTCAGCCAGTACATAGATCCGTTAGTGTTCATCAAGAACACGATCAAGTCTCGTTTCTCGTGGAACGAAGGGAGAGAGATACTATACATGGACGGTCAACTAGACGAGAGACAAAGGCAAGACTCAATATCGTCGTTCAACGACGAGCGGAGCGGGGCGAAGGTGCTGCTTGCGTCGGAGAGGGCTTGCTCGGAGGGGATTAATCTGGTGGGGGCGTCGAGGGTGGTGTTGCTCGATACGGTGTGGAACCCTTCTGTCGAGAAGCAGGCGATTAGTAGGGCTTACAGGATTGGTCAGAAGAAGGTTGTTTACGTGTACCGTTTGTTTACGTCGGGGACTGAGGTTAGGCAGTATTCGCAGCAGGCGTATAAGGAGAGGATTTCGGAGATGATATTTGCTGACTTGGATGATGATGACGTGGATGGTAGAGAGATGAAGAAGAAGAAGGAGATGGTGCATGAAGATAAAGTGTTGGATGCTATGATTGGGATTGAGGGTTTTGGAGATATGTTTGAGAAGATAATACATCAGCCTAAGGAATCTGATCTCATTCAATTGTTTGGTTTGGTTGATTGTAACTGAATTAACTGCTAAAGCAGAAAATATTTAAATAATATTTTCACTTTAATGTTCATGTTGTTTCCATTTTGTTTCTTGTGTTTTCAATTATTTGGACTTAATAATATAATTTATTAGACATTTTTTTTTTTTTTGTGTAAATATTACCAAATCACAACAAATTATGATAAATACTAATTATAAATATATACTATAATTAAATAATTAGAAGGAAAAAAAATATTATAAAATTGTTGAATATGGATTAAAGATGCTTTAAGAGTACAATGAATGAAAGGGAAACTGAAAGCACGAGGAGGTCAATCTAGAAAAAGAAAAATTTTGACGTTTGAGACAAACAGTTACGTTTGACGGAAAAACTCTCGGAAGCTACCCTATCAACCACAAGGAGGTTATGTGCTTATATTACAAGAAGCACGATGGAATCATCTGCAAAAGCTTGTAAGTACAGGGGGTAAATGCTATTTACCCATTTTTTTTATAGACGTTTTTTTTTTTTTTTTTTAATTATGGAGGAATTGAAGTAAGAAAGAATTGGTTTTTGTTTTATTTATGATTTTTATGTTACCGTATATGGAATGAAAAATGAATTGGAATTTTCGAATTCCGGCAATTCTAGTATGATTTTTTCGATTTTTTCAAAATAATTTTTAGTTTTTATTCTGATTTCGACAGTCTTGATTTCCAATCTTTAAAAATGATTGAAATGGAACTAGACTTCATATTATATTTCGAATTTTTTGATTTTATTATAATTTTCAAAAACTTTTTTTTTAAATTACACTTATAATATTAATATTATTATTTTATAATATTAATATTATTATGTATTTTATATGATAGGATACTATAAAGATGGAGGTTGAGAATTCCACCGATTCCGATAAAAAAAAATCGGTTTATGACAAATGTTTTTATTCCAATTTCCAAAATTTTGATTTTTGTCTTAAACAGAATTTGAAAAAAAAAAAAGGATTTTTCCTATATTATTAAATTTAATTTGATATGTTCGATTTACACACCATATTCCACACCAACAAAGAATATCTGTAAGGGGCCTTAATATTTCACCTTTTGGTACAAGGGAATACCTGTAGGTTAAAATTAGACTGGCAATAATTTAATAAGTTTCTTTCTAAAAAAATATGTTCTCAAATGTGAAATTCTAATTACAGTTTCGTACAAAGAAAAATAAAAAAATGTAAAATCACATTTTTTTATTCCCCCATAATATAAATTATAATGATATTTATAAGCGCAATTTCAGAAAAAAAATGAAACTTTTGGAATTATTTGAAAAATTCAAACTGAATTGAAAATAAAAATTCCATTACTATAATAAATATTTTTTTTGAGTGACAACATTAATTTTCACATTTGAAAAAGAAAAAAAATTGTCGCTATGGCTGTAACTAATGGGCTATCACTAATACATGTATTTAAAAAAAAAAATAGATCATCACCTCTATTATTGACAATAAAAAAAACGATTAAGTGACAATGATATACCTAATTGGGCCGACCAATGGGCCCCCAATTTATTTAATAACTGGGCCCACTATACGAAAGCCCAAACACCTTCAAAATAAAGTTTGGGCCCAACGAAGTAAACTCAACCCAATCAACAACATATAAATAGATGTTTTTACTCATTTATTAATGTACGTTCTATTATTCACAAGTAATCTAGAGTATTATTCTCTCTACCATCTCCACGATCCATACATCTGACTTGAGCGTCCGGTTGGGTTTCCGCCGGATCAACCCCGGCTTAGTTCACGTGCGTTCATTTCGCAGAGACCTCAGGGTCATCAAATTGCTAAGCTACTGATCCGCTTTGCTCTCCTAGCTCATTTTCTACACTACTCCAGGTGATCTAAGTAAGACAACAAAATGAGCTATTAGTATTGTCACTTAATATATGTATTTAGTAACATATCATTAAACCCATTTTTTCTTGTAGTGTATTCTAATTCTGACCAAAAAAAATAAAAATCCAAAAATCAAAACTTTCAAAATTCAAATAAAAATTATTGTTCCAAAATCAATTTTCTTAGAATTTGAATAAGCGAAATTCAGAAATTATGTTCAAATTTACACATACGCCTCAATGGAGGAATTTCCAAAGTTTAAATTTTCATCTTCAATGGAGGAATTAAATTGGTAGTTATTTTGATATTCAACTTCCGAAGATGTAAATATGCATCCGGGAAAAAGAGGTATCAAAACATTAACTATCTTACAAACCAATCATGAATTGACATGTGTCAAATGTTTGATGATTCATTTAATGCTTACGGTTGAAGTAAATGAGTATCAAAATAATAAAACGAGCATCAAATTAATATTTGATGCATGGTAGTTAATCTCACGATATACCGCGATATATATCGTGATACGGTATGGTTCCAATCAAAACGATATAACTCGGGTTATGTATCGCTTATTGATAAATACCGCGAGATGTCGTATTGTATCGCCGTATCACGACACAATACGATGTTTACAATATTAGCCGACAATTAAAAAACATGAAAAAAACCAGATAATTAACAAACATGAAAAAAAAAGCGAGAAAAAAGAAGAAACGCAATCAACTGCTCTGAAAAATGGATTTGAACAAGTTTCTTCAATATCCTAACCCTACTTCACACTTTTCTCTTCAATCTTTTCACTAATCCTTACAATATCGCAACCATCGAATAATTTTACAAATTAGGTATTCGAATTTGAACTTAATGTCCATTTGGCTAAAACTTATTTTAAACAGCTGATAAACTCTTACATCTGATAATTAAGATGTTTTAAGAGCTGATAAGTTGTTACGTCTTGTTTTTAGAATGTATTTTTTCAAGTGTCAAGCTATTTTTACTCATTATAAGATATTAAATAAATAGACGGGGTAAATGTACTTTTTAAAAAACTCCATCAACTTATATTTTAATTTTTTAAGATCTTTTAAAAAAAAATACCTAACTCATTGGAAGAGATTAGAAGCTCTTAACCATCTTATTAACATTTTATAAACCTAGCCAAACACCCTCTTAGATAATGTTATTTGATGCACAATTATGATTTTGGTCATATTTTATAATAAGATGTTGAAACTTGAATTTATATCTATTTTGAAATGAGTATGTTAACTTAAAAGTATTAAATTTTACATGTTTATAATATTTTTATAATTTAGATATATATTTTTTACTATTTTAATAGTTGGTTAAGTATCTTACGATACGATATGATAACGGTACATAACAAGATGTGGAGCAAAACGATACAGAAATTTTTACGATCCAATAACCATGATTTGATTTGATGATTCATTTTAATACTTTGCCATTAGAGTTGCTGAGTTAAATGCAAAACCCCCCGTGTTAATTCTAAAAACCAAAAACCCCCCTGGGATAAAAAAATTGACAAAAACCGCCCCGATAAGTGTTCAAACAAGCATACTCGACCCATTTTTATTTTATTCGTTGACCGATCGTGAAAAGACGAATAAACCCTCGGATAAATCTGTCCAACCTCTAAAATTTTATGAACCAAATGAAGTTTTTAAAATTTTCAATTCAGTCCCTAATAGTTTCAATTAAGCCCTCTTCCCAAATAAAAAAAACACACACAGACACACATTACACACACTGTAATTTCAATTCTCTGGGCACATCACCTCACCCCACCCCTCCCCACCACTGCCGTCGCCGGCTCCGTTCGTGAACTGAAACCCTCTCTGGCAATTGCTTCTCAACCCCTATCAATAACGAATTCCCTCTCAAATCAAAATTTCTTACAAAATTATTCCAAGAAAAAAAAATCCAAAGTTATGATCTACAATTTCGACACCATTACACGTCGTCCGGCAACAATAAACCTTCTTCTCTCCTCAACAAAACAATCACTACGTTCCAGATTTCTCAACCCATTTTCTCGGGGCCACCCATTTCTTCGATTTTCCCAAAAATGAAGTAGACCTCCAGTTATGCATTCATATTTTGCCATTGTCGTGGTTATGGTACTAAATTTTTTTGAGGTTTCCAGCGAACCGGCGGCCTTGGCAGGAGGGGAGGTGGTGGTGGTAGGGCATATTGGAGGAAGAAGATGATGAGGTATCCGTGGGGGTGGGGCATTTTGGAGGAAGAAGACGATGAAGTGGTTTTTTATGCCAATTTCTTTTTTCTTTTCTTTTTTAATTTATTTAAATATAATTTATATTTTTTCATTTTATTTGTTTAAATATACATATTATTAAAAAAATCATGAGTAGTTTAATTGTTTAATGACTGTTGATTTAGAAGGGCAATTCTGTCCTTTCATGCACAAAATATACAAAAATCGCACAAGTAATCGCACACACAGCGAGTGAATGATACGCACAGAGGTTGGGGGGTGTATGGCTTTGACTATTGATTACAGGGGAGTTTGTGCCACTTTTTTTATCCCAGGGGTTTTTTTGGTCTTTAGGATTAGCACAGGGGGGTTTTTGCATTTAACTCTAGAGTTGTTCTTATAAGATTTAGGGTAAATTGCGGCTACCCCTAAGGTATGGTTAAATTACAAAAACCCTCTCTTGTTCGGATATTACAACCCCTCAACTATGAATATTGTTACACATTCATCCTTATGTGTCAAAATTCAACAGAATCTTCCAGATTCCGTAAAATATTCTCCAATTTATACTCGTTTTGTACAAAAATATAGTCTCTGATGCACACAATCTGATATTTACAAGTCAATAAACACATCTTATGATCATCTTATTTCAAAATTGAACTCGAATGGATTAAAAATAATACAAATTGGAGAATATTTCATATAATCTAGAAGATTCCACTAAATTTGACACTACCTTTGCGAACATGTAAAAAGATTCATACTTGAGGGGTGATTATAATTACCCATACAAGTATATGTTTGAACAACAAATCTTAGGATTGAAATTATAATCTACTAACCATATATAATTAACCAAAAAATGAAGGTCATATATCATCTACCTAGTAATTTCGTGGGAAGGAATCATAAATCATTAAAATATATATATTTGTAGTTGTTGATGTAATAAATGTTATGTATGGTCTTCTTCTTCTTGATTGATTGTCATCTTTTTCAATGCGTCTTCGTTTGGACAAATCACAATCCATCGTTCTGACAACTCTTCATCTTCTCTCTCTCTCTCTCTCTCTCTCTCTTGTTTCTCTTTCTAGATCTCTCTCTCTCCCTCCTGTTTATATTATTATATAGTATCTATGTCACGGAGAAGAAAACGAATGTTGTCACATTCCAACAACACTCTTTCGTCTTTATATATCACTCTCTCCTGCACTGCACTAAAAGCTGACTAGTCAACTCCTCCGGTTGCTTCTTCCTTGTTTTTTTTTTTTGTAATAAAAAAATAATAAACACCAAGATTCCGGCGACGGCGAGTTCTGCCGGACTTCTGGTAAACATTTCTTTCTTCATGATACATACATTGCATGTCAGTCGAACAAGTGTGAGTGATGCGTGTGATTTTTGTGTGTGTGTGTGTTTAATTTTTGGGTTATGATATATATGGGCTTTTGATTTAGAGATGAAATGTGTATTTTAAAATGTGATTGCAGATGATCAAGATTTAATTTTGAGTAGATACATGCAATTTTTTGAGTTCTAATATATATATATATATATATATATATATATATATATATATATATATATATATATATATGGGCTTTGTTTTGCAGATGAAATGAGGCCAAGAACAAGAAGGCAATGGGATGACCATTACAAGAATTTGTACAATGAAAAGAAGAGAGCTAATGTAGAGAGTAGTACTAGTGGTGGAGTTCGCAGGCGGAGAGACGAACGGGTCGGAAATGCCGTTGATTCGGAGGAGCCTATAAATAATTATATGGATCAAGATTTTATTATAATTGGTGAGAAGAATAGTACCGAAGATAATTATGTAACTAGTTCCGAGAAAAGATCGAGCCGAAGAAGGACTAGAAATTCGGCCTCGTTTGATCGGGGTTTAGGGGGGAAAAACAAAGCAAATACGAATAATGACAGCTATGAAAATGATGATGTGGTTGAGTATTTGGGGGGAAATATTTTCTCGAGTGGCTCCAGTTCGAAATTTGGGCCCGAGTTGGGTAATAATAATGTCGATGTAGACAATTCGAGCAAGAGTTCAGACAATGCGGATTATAAGTCGCTTGATTTGTCTTTGTCTGAAGATGAAGATGATGGAGATGAAGAATCTTCTGATGAAGATTATAAAGTGGATAAAATACCGTCGCCTGCTGAGTCATCGGATGATGCGTCGTCAAATTACGACACTGAAGATGAAGTGATGATTATCGAACAAGAGACGAAATCTCCGGACAACGAAAGTGAACCCGAGCAAAAAAGTGATCGTCACAACAAGAAAAGTGCTCGTAATCGGAAAAAAGAGGATGTTGTAATTATCAATGACGATGACGAAAAAAGAAATATTGGTGCAAGATTAAGTAGAGTCCATAAACCACGTTTAATTGATACGAGCAATGAAGTCAGCGAAAAATCGAAAGATGGCGGTTTAAAGAAGAGAAAAGCTTTGATTTTAGAAGATTCTGACAAGGGAAATGACAAAGATGACGCTACAACTTCGGTAAAGCATCTTTTTCGACCGAGACCAGTTTCCACGTCTCCGAACAATGAATGTTTCGAAAGTGGTAAATCTTGGAGTAAGTGGGGTCCACCATGCTCGGAGAAAGTGGCTAAGATCGGAAAGAAGCAAAGAAATATTGAATTGATCAACATTTTGGTGGAATCGATTAATTTATTCAAGGAGCAAAAAAGTCCGATCGAAGAGAGCCGTTTCGCTGCACAAGAAAAACTTCCGATGAGGTTCCGGTTCGAGGATGAGGTGGAGCCCACCGTAGAGAAATCGGAATGGGAGAAAGATATGGATTCACTATTCCATGATCTCGAATTGGGGCTTCGTGGATTTGAGATCGACCACATTTCTTCTAAGGTACATTTTTGTTTTCTTAAATGTCAAGTGTTGATTTGTTTAATTAACCTCTCGATTAACACGTTTTTTCTAATCTTTAAGACGGAAAATGACGATGTTGTGGAGATTGATACGAGTCCAGCGGCTTGTTGTCGTAGAGGGGAGCATCAGCTTATTCTCGAGGACGAAATCGGAATTGTTTGTAAATATTGCGCTGCCGTAATTTTGGAAATCAAATATGTATTACCGCCGTTTGTAAGTACACAAAAAATGTTGATTGTCTTGTTTGCTTGGTTAATGTTGTTGCATTGTAAACAGTGCTGCTGTTTTGTAGTACACGGCACCATCCAGGAAACGGGACAGGAGAGAATATTCCGAAGAATATTCTCCAAACTCCAAAACCGATCGGCAAATCCAATTTCAAGACGCCGCCTATAAAGAAGCAGCTCCGGATTCCATCGGCACTCGTGGCACGGTGTGGGATTTAATCCCAGGAGTAGAGAACGAGATGTACCCTCACCAAAGAGAGGGCTTCGAGTTCATATGGAGGAACATCGCTGGCGGCACCAGCCTCTGCAACCTGCAGCAGCCGCTCACCGACACTGGCGGCAAAGGGTGCATCATCTCCCACGCGCCTGGAACCGGCAAGACGAGACTGACGATAGTGTTTCTCGCCACATTTTTGAAGCTCTACCCAAACTGCCGCCCAGTCATCATCGCGCCGAAAGGGATGCTCCTCACATGGGAAACAGAATTCGTCAAGTGGAAAGTCAACATCCCGTTCCACAACATGAACAAGGAGGAGCTGTCGGAAAACGAAAACGAATTTGCCGCCAAAATATGCGCGCAGCTTGGCGGCGGCGGCGGAATTAGCAAGGAACACGTTCGGTGGGTGAAGCTGTGTAAGTGGATGCAAGGGAGGAGCATATTAGGAATCAGCTACCAACTGTTCGAAAAACTTGTCGGAGTAAAAACCCAAAAAGGCGACAAAAACAAGAACAAAAACGAGAACGAAAACGAGAAAATGAGAGAGTTCCTTCTAGAATATCCAGGGCTATTAGTGCTCGACGAAGGGCACACCCCTCGAAACCAGCAAAGCCTCATATGGAAGGCACTCACGAAAGTCTCAACGAAAAGATGCATTATTTTATCCGGTACGCCTTTTCAGAACAATCTCACCGAGCTATACAACACGCTCTGCCTCGTGAATCCAAGTATCGCGAATCAGGGGAATTGGTGTGGAAATAGCAAAAAAACTCGGGGGCGGCCCCCCAAGAGTGCCGACCGTAAGGAGTGGACGAATTTGGGTAAGAATACGGACGATGGATTGAAGAAGCTTAAAATGATGCTCGATCCGTTTGTTCATGTACACAGAGGGACCATACTTGAGGAGAGTTTGCCTGGATTGAGGGACACGATCGTCTTTTTGCACCCGACCGAACTTCAGAAGAACCTTCTAGAAACTTGCGCCCAAGAACGGCGCATATTCCACCGTACCAACCTCGTGTCAATGGTCTCGGTCCACCCGTCGCTCTTCCCGGAGGAGAAGAGAAGGTCCGTTGCTCAGAAGAACGTTCTAGAAGAGATCGAATCGGATATCGAAGCGGGAGTGAAACTGAAGTTCGTCATGAAGTTAATATACTTGGCCGATGCTTTAGGCGAACGGGTTTTGATCTTCAGCCAGTACATACATCCGTTAGTGTTCATCAAGAAGCAAATCAAGTCGCACTTTTCTTGGAACGAAGGTCGAGAGATACTATACATGGACGGACAGCTGGACGAGAGACAAAGGCAAGATTCGATATCGTCGTTCAACGACGAGAGGAGCGAGGCGAAGGTGCTGCTTGCTTCGTTGAGGGCTTGTTCGGAGGGGATAAATCTGGTGGGTGCGTCGAGGGTGGTGTTGCTCGATACGGTGTGGAACCCTTCGGTCGAGAAGCAGGCGATTAGTAGGGCGTATAGGATTGGTCAGAAGAGGGTTGTTTATGTGTACCGTTTGTTTACGTCGGGGACTGAGGTTCGGCAGTATTCGCAGCAGGCGTATAAGGAGAGGATTTCGCAGCTCATATTTGCTGACGTGGACGATGATGGAGAAATTTGTCGGAGTGATAAGTCGAAGATGGTGAATGAGGATAAAGTGTTGGATGCTATGGCTGGGATTGAGGGGTTTGGAGATATATTTGAGAAAATTATACATCAGCCTAAGGAATCTGATCTCATTCAGATGTTTGGTTTGGTTGATTGTAACTGAATTAACTGCTAAATTAACTGCTACTCTGTGTGTGTGTGTGTGTGTGTTTGTGTGTTCAATTAGTGCAATTTCTTTTGTGACTCATGAATTGTAAGAATGTGATTTACCTACATTTCGGTTTCGGTTTCAGCTTCGAGACAAACCACGAAACGTGTGCAAACAATTTCAACAAATAAATCAAGTAAAACTATCGACGACAAATGCCGATGTTTCTTCGGTTAGTGTGCAACACACAACATTGAAGTTGTAAAAACAAACCTCAATTGCTTTGTGCAGAAAAAAAAAATGTGGTTATCTCTCAACCATATTAGCACATAAACAAACCTCTTGTACATATACAAGATATCGTCACAAAATCGAAAACAAAGTATCCCTTTTTCAGACAACAACACTCGAATCGAAGTTCATTGGTCAATGACAACATTGACTTCAGAGAGTGAGTACGTACGTTTATTCCTCACAAAAAAACTTTGCCAAACAAATGTCGAAATCGAGTGAAAATACTCGCAGACAAAACGGTAGAGATGGATAGGTTATCAATAACTTCAATCTCGATTTTTATCATGAAATTGATTGGTTTCAGGCTGTGTGGGATAAATTGATTGGTTCAGGCTGTGTGGCTTTGTGGACTATTTCGTTTTGCTCTTTCGTATGGACCATGTAAAAGCCAGTCGCAGTAGCGGCGGAAGGGGCACGGCCCACATACTTGATGTCGTCCACATTGCCTCGTTTCAGAGCTTTCATTGCAGTGCCAAGACGAGGAGCGATATAGCTGTATGCTCCCATGTTCATTGGCTCTTCTTGACACCAAACGATCTCTGCATCTGAAATAATCGCACAAAAGAAAACGGCAAATCTTAGTTCACCTAATTATATATATATATATATCTTTTTTTTACATTGTGAGAAATATTAAAAAAAAAAAAGGGCCGATTTCGAAGACATACTTGGGTATCTCTTAAGTTCACGTTGGACGAGATCGTATGGGAAGGGGCAAAGCTGCTCCACCCTACAGATTGCAACATCCTTTGCATCAGCTTTTTTCCTCTGTTCGTCAAGCTCGTAGTATAGCTGCAAATAACAAGCAAAACTGAATTGAATATAAAAAGAAATGAACGAGAGAAATTTATAAGGCAAGAAGAAAGTGTTTGGCACCTTTCCAGAGCAAAGGACGAGGCGTCTAATACCCTCTTCGAGATCAGAGTGGAGATTTTGATCCTTAATAAGGCGTTTAAATCTGGTTCCTTGTTTGTCGAAACCGGGATGCCCTTCAACATCGTCGAACTCGGATAAGTTAGATTTGCAGTCCTTGTGACGGAGTAAGTTCTTTGGTGCCATCACAATTAGAGGTTTCCGGAATTCCCTATGTATCTGCGACGTAAAATTTTATAATGTTAGAAAGTTTGCTTGTCGATAACAACACACGGCTTTGGCTGAGTTAAATTAAATAAACTAACCTGGCGGCGCAAAACATGGAAATAATTCGCAGGGGTGGTTACGTTCACCACCTGCCAATTGCATTCCTGAATCTGTGTCCTGAGGGTCGAATCCATCTCCGGGATAACGAAGGGATTATCGTCACTCATCTGCAATAGAACAAGAAAGGTCAATTTTATATTCCTCGAAATAACAAGAAATCAAATTGAGATATCTTGAAACATTAAAGGAAAATCAGAAAGTCAAAACGGAAAACGGAAATAAAGAAGAAAAATACAACAACAACCTAACAAGATTCTTTGTTAGAATTAAACATTAAAGATCGCCTATAGTTTATAACGCGGCCAAAATAGCAGACACCAAAACAGAAAAAAGAAATACTAAAAAGGCGTTAAGAAAGTCAATCGACACTTGTACTGCAATCAGAGATGTACGTACGTGCAAATACAAGATAATCTCAACTGGATAAGATGCAAGCATAATCGAGAAATGAGCAGTACCTGAAGGAAACGTTCCATGCGTGCACTAGAGTGTTCTGGGCCTTGACCATCGTATCCATGTGGTAGGAGAACGACTAATCCAGTTTGACGAAGCCATTTGGCCTCACCGCTGCTCAGAAATTGGTCGAACATGACCTGAGCCCCATTGGCAAAATCACCAAACTGAGCTTCCCACAGTATCAGCGAATTGGGATTTTCCATCGAGTAACCTAATTCGAATCCCAAAACTCCAAATTCTGAAAGAGAGCTGCATAAGACCAAATAATTATCAGATAACTTATTCATTGTCTATACAAAATTTTTAAAATCGAGTTAAATTTTTTTTTATCAGATAACTTATTCATTGTCGAAAGAATAATTAAAACATAAAAAGCGACCAGATCAGCCAATTCATCGTCATGCATGACTAACGAATTCAACCTTGCCTCCATAGCAAATAGCTTTAAGCAAATTAACCAATGCAAAAGTAACATTAAAATGAAATTAAAGCTGAAGGCAGCACCTTTTTATTATAATTCCAAGTATTAAATAATAAACAAGTAATGGATTATCCCCCTTCTGAAGATTTTTTTCAAGAAATCTAAGGGAAGTGATTATCAAATTAAACAATCCATGTTATTCCAGGAACAAACTTCTCTGATAGATTCCTTCAATCTAGAGGAACAAGGAGTGCATTTCTCACAAGTTTCCCTCAGAAAATCTAAACTCGTGAAACGTTTTCCTCAAAAGGAATGATCCCTTTCTAAAATCTGCAAAGGGAACTATTAATTTGATGGGTTTTATGTATTTGAGAAATTGAGCTTTGATCAAGGAGAATACATGACAAATACAGCAAAATCTTAAGCAATAAAAATGTATTCAAACTAAACAATATCATTTAGAATGCTTTTAGACTTAAATATTTGGGTAATTAAGATCAACACACCAGCATCGGTAGTCCAGTAGAAACGAAAACACCAAAGCACAAAAAATAAAAGGGGCAGAAGGAGAAGCAGATATAGTAACAGATATTACCTGTTACTCACGGTAAACATCTCTTCATCTTGGTTCATAATAACATGATCTAAGGGGCAGTATCTTTCACCAGTTTCCTGATCGTGAAGAACCGAATGTCTATGGCTGAAAGTACCTCTCTCGACATCCTGCCCACTCAACCTAACATGATTTCCCTCCACAAGCAACGTTGCAAACGCGAGTGATTCAGCTACTGCCCAGTCAATACCCTCCCCTGACTCGATCATTTTCGCACGGTCTTCAAAAATCCTCTTAACTGCTCTATGAGGTTTAAAAGTTTCTGGAAGAGTTGTGATAGCCTTGCCAACATTCTTCAAAATCTCTGGTTTAACCCTGCAAAAAAATAAAAATAAAAATAAAAAACCGGTTCTCTAAACTTCAATGAACGGTACATGACTAAATGATATGAAATGAGTTAGACATTACCCAGTATTACGGATACGTGAAAGTTGTTCGGGAGACTTGAAACCAGCCCAGTAAGCTGAAAGCCAGTCCCTTCTTTTAGGCACATAATCTTTGCTGGCCAGAAATTCTTCATTGAGAATCGAAAGGACTTTGCTGTTTATCTTATCAATTTCTTCTTTTGTGACCTGACCAGATTCTAGAAGTTTCTTTTGGTAAATCTCAGCTGCCGAAGGATGATTCCTTATAACCTATAAACCAGTCAAGAAGTTAAAAGCTTCAACAGCTTGCAGAAAATGGACGGAAACCAAATATTACACAAAACTAAAGGAGAATAAAAAAAATATTATAAAGCAGAAAAGGAAATACACAGCACATACCTTGTACATTTTAGGTTGAGTGAAGGATGGCTCATCAATTTCGTTATGCCCAAATCGACGATAGCATACGATATCAACCACAACATCAGTATGAAACGTCTGACGCCACTCTGCAGCAAGTTCACAGGCATGAACAACAGCCTCCACGTCATCACCATTGACATGGAAAATAGGAGCACTTAGAGCTTTGGCAACATCGGTACAATATTGGGAAGATCTTCCAGCTGTTGGGTCAGTGGTGAAAGCCACTTGATTGTTCACAACAATGTGAATGGTCCCACCAGTAGTGTAATTCGGCAGAGCACTAAGATGCAAGGTCTCGTACACGACACCTTGTCCGGCAAAACTACCATCACCGTGGATTAAAATACCCATATTCTTTGTTCTGTCGACGTCGTTAGAGTAATACTGTTTGGCTCTGGTTTTTCCAACCACGAGTGGGTCCACTGCTTCTAAATGACTAGGATTTGCAACCAAAGACAAGTGAATTCTCTTACCCCCTCTCGTCGGACGATCGTAAGAAGTTCCCAGGTGATACTTGACATCACCAGTTCCGGTGTAAAGGCCGACCTCATCCACGGGTTTCGTGCCACCACTAAACTCGCTAAATATCTGCCTTAGAGGTTTCCTTACAACATTGCCCAAAACATTCAATCTTCCCCTGTGCGACATTCCAATGACTATGCTCTCTACCCCGAGATCTGCTGACCTGTCAAACATCTCCTTCATACCAGGAATCAATGTCTCGCAACCTTCAAGCCCAAACCTTTTGGCTGCAGTCCATTTGGCTGCCAAGAAGTTCTCGAATTGGGTACTCCAAATAAGCCGGTCGAGAATCACCTCACGCCGATCTCGACTATATTGAGTTGATGTTGGAGTCTCGATTTTGTCTCTCAACCAGTTACACTTTTCGTGATCGGCAATGTGCATGTACTCAAAGCCAATGTTCCCACAATAAGCCTGCTCTAGCCTCGTCAATATTGCCCTTAAAGTTTGCACAGGACGGTTCTCGGACAAGAAACCAGACAATCTCCAGACACCAACAAAGAATTCTCTATCGAGATCAGCTTCTGAAAATCCATAAAGCCCTGGATCTAGATCATCGGGGATGGTCCTTTCTTCCAAGCCGAGTGGATCTATCTTGGCCTTCATGTGACCATAAACCTGGTAAGCTCTCACAAGCAACAACAGACGCATACTTTCTTGAATCGTTTGACCCGAAATTCCGGGAGATGTGGTGGCCTGGCCCACAAAGTTTCTGAAGAAATTGTCCCATGATTCGTCCACGCTATTGGGATCTTGCTCCCAAGCTCTCTGCAGCTCCTCGAGATAAACGCTGCTCGTGCCATCCAAGAAACTATCGGTCAATCTAGAGAGTGGAACAGGACGAGGAACCGGTGCAGATTGAGCCTTTGACCTAAAAACTGTTGTCTGAAAGCATCGGCTCTGTGCAGGTGAACCCGTTGCTCGTGCTACATAAGAACCAGATTGCGTTAAAGTTCGCTTAACAGCAAGCTTCGCCACACGAGACCCGGCTCTAAACCACACCATTGCTATTCAACCGAATCCGAGAAACTACGACCACAGCAGAAAAAAGAAATTCAACACTTCCCAAACGAAATTACGCGCTACGAACTGTCATTATATCTCCCAAACACCATACCCTAATCAAACAAAAGAAAATGCAATGAAAACCAAATAATTAATAAAAAAAAAAAATCAACGTAATACGATACAGAGTAAACATCAATTAATGCAATACACCCATGGGCATTCAACCAAAACCAAATCAATTTAACATAAAGCTAGAACAAATCAAGAACAGTTGATATTCTGCGAATAAATTAAGGAAATCGACAAAACAAATCGAGCCCATTTAACATGAAAATGCAGAAGAAAGCAGCTCAGCAACAAAATATTACCGATAAAAAAATAAATTGTTGCAGCAATTCGTTACGACAATATCTAAAATCAAATTTGGAGGAGAATAAATGGTACAATACCTAAGAAAAAGATGGCGTATGGTCGGAATTAAACCCTAATCGCGGTGACCTATTTCTTGGGTTTTCGTTTACTTTTCTCCAACTGATGTTTCATTTCCCACTCTTTAAAAAGACAGCCTTTCTGTATTTGATAAGCCAAAATTCCCAATTTTTATTAAAGGAAAAGGCAATTATTCCAATTATTTACTTATTAAACAAGAAAGCAAGATCCAATATTTATTAAATAAAATGGCAAATATCTAATTTATTTATTAAAGAAAAAGGCAAAATCCAATATATTAAAGAAAAAGGAAAAATTAATTTATTAGAAATCAATAAATATTTTATTTATAGATGAATCATAATTAATAACTATTTTATAATTAATTAAACCAATTATCATTTCCTAAAAATAATAAATACTAAATTCAAGCAACTAGTTAAAATAAATGACATTATTATTTTTTACCTTTCCTCAAATTGTGCTATTTACTAAACTTTGTGTCACTTGAAAAAATAGTAATATTGAGAAAACAACAAAAACTCATACTTAACAAGGAAAAAGGGTAACTATTTATTTTTATGTCTTGTATTATACTACACTTGATCAAAATGTAATGGCCAATTTTCAAAATTTAACCTTCACATAATTACACACATACGTGAATATTCGCATGTAAAATGTGTATGAATCTATACAAATGTAAAATTGACCAAAACAGATAATAAGGGTAAATTATAACCGCCCCCTTAAAGTAAGGTCTATTTACGAAAAAAAAATAATAACTCTCATTTTTTTCATAATTGCATCCACCCCAGCAATTTGTAGATTTCTTACATTAACACGGTTTTGTAGGAGGGAGGATATAAGAAATTATAAACTACGAGGGACTGGATGTATTCTAAAAAATAAGGGTTGTTTTTTATAATTACACTAACCTGAGGGAGGTGGTTGTAATTTTTCATTATTATTTAACCTCACCGAATATAAAATCAGAGAACAAAACCTGAATCTAACAAGGAACAATTTGCTCCTCACCCATTTGACAGTCTTTCTTATATCACAAAATGGGAAAAGGCTGCAGATATTTGCAAGACGAAAATTACTAAGTGCAAGACCTTACTTCATGCAAGACCAAAATATAAATAAATTTACTAAGATCAAGACTGGAAATTACAAATATAACCCCAATAATAATTTAGATATTATTAATTTAAATTAAGTTAATTGCTATTGCAAGACCAAAAAAAAATACAAAAAAAAAGAATAAAAAAAAAAAGAAAAAAGAGAGGGAACTCACTCACCCAACAAAACACCAACATCTTCTTCTTCACCCTCATTTTACACATTTTTTTCCACAAAAAAATCTTCCATATTCTCCAAAACCCTTATCACATAAAACCCTCAAATCTTACTAAAACTTGAAAAGAAGGACATTATGGATACACAAGACATAAATATGGAGGATTCTAAGGTCGAAGAACACAAAGAGGTAAGAAATATTGTACTTTGTGATCGTTTTTCTCGTTTTTCGCACCTCATTTCACGTACAAAAAAATCGACATGTACAGGTCGAAATATCAGCTTTATATCGACACTGCAGTGTCGAAAATGTCAAAATAATTCGACACTCATTAACTGTCGAATTATATTGAAATTATCGACATTCTGGTGTCGATATTAAGCGGATATTTCGACGCCAGTGTGTCGAAAATTTTCCAAAAAAACGACAAGTACAGGTCGATTTTTGTAAAACCGCAACTCCTTCAACAATAGTGCTACAATCGAACCCTAGAATCATCAACTATGTTCTAAAACGACTTGAATTCATTATTCTAACAATAAAATCATGTTTATCACATTTATTTCTCAAAAAAAAGTTAATTCAAAAAGTAATTTTTACTTTTTTTTCGTGAGATTGTTGGGGCAACAACGGAGTTCAACGGCGACGGGCGACGGCGGTGGACTTCAACGGCGACGGCGACGACGACGGGGCGACGAACGGTTTTTTGCTGCAATTGATTTTTTTTGTTTTCTTCAATCTTCCCTCCTCGTTTTGATTTTGTCAATTCAATTTCTTTTTTCTTTTTGTTTTATTAATTTTTTTTTTTAAATTGGTCTTGCAAAAGAAAATTAATAAAATAATTTTTTTTTGTTTGTATTTTATTAAGGTTATTATAGTCTTTTTATACTGAATTTAATAAAAAAAATTAAATTGGTCTTGCACTAAGTAAATTTCGTCTTGCAAATAGTCGCTGCCATTGGAAAATTGTACTTTTCGCTGCTCAAATTTACTTTAATTACATATTTGGTCCCTTTGTTCATAAAAAAACAAATTTAGTCCTTCATATTTCAATAATTTAATATTTTTTGTCATTTTCGTCAATTTTTCGTTGTACCAACGAAATCAAGCATGTTCCCATCACTCTTTTAACTGACGGGCTCACGGTAAATTAACAGAAATGACCAAAAGTATTAAATTGTTAAAACATGAAGGACCAAATGATTATAATTATGAGAACCAAATGTGAAATCGGTGCAAACTTCAGGGAACTGTAAGTTTTCCATCACAAAATCTCCTTAGTAGGATTCTTGATAATAGGCGCCACGTGGACAAGAATAAATGTGTCAAACATTACATCTAGCTAGCTAATTTAGTTGACTATGAATTAGTAGTTGCAATTGAAACACGATGAGTGGCCACGAGCTACATCTCCAAACCAATTCTCCTTAATTAATTAATTAATTTACAACATTATTGGGTATAACTAATATAATATATGAGAAGATTCACGAGTGTATATTTCTATTAATAATTCATATTTATATGTATATATATATAGTACAAAAAAGAAAATCATATAATTCATAAAAGGGAGTGAATTGAGAGCGGACGCTCCTTTAAATGAAGAAAATTGGACGCCACTAACTGAGGGACACATGTACATGTGAAATAAAAATTGTGAAGTCTTGTGCTCTCGGTGGATTTTTTTATTTTATAACTAAATATATATTTTTTTTTGTTATAATGTTTTCTTGTTTGTCTTTTAAAGTGAATTTTAATTTTGAGGCCCCTTGTACTTTCATTCTTATTTAATGGAATAAAAATATTTTGAGGCAAAAAAAAAGTCACTTTTAATTTCCAAATAAAATTTTAAAAATTCTTATTCTTTCATAAAATTACAATAATAATATCATTTTAATGGTTTTAATTCCTACCCCTAATTATAACGCTTCCAAGCTTGTTATTTTTATTTACTGTATAATATTTTATTTTATATTAACTTAGGGTAAATTAGCAATAGCTTAAATATAAAACTTAAAATAGAAAATAATAACAAAATATATTACTATTAGTTTATCATAGAGTAGTATTTTAGTAGCTAATATAATTGAGATGATTATCTAAGTAGCAGCTAATTGAAAAAAAAAAACAAAAAAAAAATTCAATGTGTATAGGTGTATGTCAATTACGGGATTGCAATTAATAGTCCAATTCACAATTAATGAAAACAAATGAAATGCTATCTTCGGTCACAAAATTGTTATTCGCGGTTTATAACAAAACTCCCCAAACCTTTTAAAAATATCCAAAAACCCCCCAAAACTGCAAATAGAAAAAAAAAAAAAAAAATCGAAAATTCGAAATCAAGCTTGAAGAAGGGTTGGGCTTCGATCTTTTGATGTAATTTCGACCATTTTATGTGTAATATGCATTTGGTAGGTCGATTACGGAACCAATTTCATGTTAAAAAGCCCTACAAATCGATTTGTAGGGCTTTTTTTTTCGCAAAAATATGTTCGAACGCCCAAGATGGGCGCCCAAGGCGTGTACGAACGCCCGCGCCCATCTTGGGCGTTCGAACATTTAAAAAAAAGAAAAAAAAAATTTGCACTGGACGCTAACTCGGGCGCCCAAATGCAGCTTGCACGCCCAACTTGGGCGTGCACTGCATGAATGGGCGCCCAAGTTGGGCTTTTACGCGTTTTGGGGGGGTTTGTGGATTTTTTTGGGAAGTTTTGGGGTTTTAGTGAAATAAAGTATTTTTTGGGGGGTTTTGTTATAAACCGCGAATAGCAATTTTCAAACCGAAAAAAACAATTCCCTGAAAACAAACACTCTCCTTAAATATGTACACGTGTCACTTAAATAATGGAGTCCGATTTTTGTTTATTAACGGCACGTCCGTTTTTAGTTTAATCTCTTCATAAAATTATTCAACATTGACAGCAAATACAAGTCGTACAACGTGTGAGCCACCATCAAACCAAACTACATCACCAAAATTATACCCTTTACTCGCTTCTTTGCCATCAAAGAAAACCTTAAAAGAAGCCGTCGTCCCTACACTTTCCGTAAAGACAATCGTTCGAGGAGCAACCTTCACTAGCAAGCCCGGAGGGGCATTTACGGAAGAAACAACGTACGTGACGTTCGGCGAAAGTCCCACGTTCGTTGCAACTCTTTTCACCTTTCTTGGTCCTTCGCGTCGGCTTAATCGTGCGATGGAAATGGTGGGATAGTTGACACTCGAGATGAGTTCTTCGGACGAGACTTTAGGGCACGTGAAGTTTTTATCTTTGGATATCGATCTTATGGCCTTTTGTTTGTACCCGTTGTGACATAGAAAGTGTAGATGGCCTTCGGTTGTGGTCTCGAATGCTAGGCCCGGGTCGAGTGCTTTGACGGGTCGGATCTCTCCGGATCCAACTTCGTGTGGGCTTGCGGAAGTATCGGAGGTGTTTGTTAGGTTTTTTCGCATGTTATTTGTTATGGATGCTGCAATGTGTTGGGAGAAATATATAAGTGAGAGAAGTGAGAAAACATAAAAGAATGTAATATGGGGTAGGGCTGAAAGCCGGATGGATCGGATCCGAGATAGGTTTTTCGAAAAAAAATTTTTTTTTTTCGGAAATCAAATAATATTTCCGATTCCAATTCTGGCATTTTTGGAATCCGAAAATCTAGTCCAATTCCAGAAAGTTGGAAATTTCGGAAAATTGGAAATGTCGGAATTTCAAAAAAATCAAAATTATAATATTGGAACCATTTTTGGAACTTGAAAAAAATTAAATAAAAACTAATCTAGTCCCACTCATTAAAATATACAATATGTAACATATCTATATGTATATAATATAAAGTAATTATTTAACAAAA